TTGTCATTTAGATTCTTATCTTTTAACTTAGCGACTAACATTTCACATTGCGAACATACATCGACCTCAGGTCTTTCAAATTTTAGAAAATATTCATATTTTAATTTGTCTGTCAAATCTGGATAATTTTTAAAGAATAGGGGGTGTATCGTTTTAACATTTAACCTGGCATTCAAATAACGAATAATTTTGGAAGCATATATACTGTGCCGCTTTTACTGGTAAGCTTTCAATGTGCTCCCTTATTTTTTTAATCAGATCATCAGATTTTGCTTGCAGTCTGTTGTTATGTAATCCCCTGAGATCTTTAGGCGACTGATCTGCTACCATCAATGTAGTTAGCCGCTGTACTTGCATATGTGATAAACTATGTAGACTCATAAAAGCCTGCTTACATACCTGAACACGTTTAGACATTTTTAAAATAAAGTATAAAACATTTGAGGACCTTGGTATTATGTTTTGTTGTCGACATCTCTGCACTGGCTTGGCTTCGATTAGTCCAGATAAATATGTATCAAGATCATTTTTTGGTCTAACTTTGAAATCATCGCGGTTTTTTCTTCATCGTTTAGAAGAGACGTGTATTGACGTTTGCATCTAAAATATAATCATATTCGTAATTTAAAACTATTGTTTAAACAAATTGAGTAAAAAGACTTACGTGCAAGGAGGACCCCATGCTTCTTCTGGTACGACTCTGCCCGATGTTGATACATAGGATTTACCATGCTGTTTTCCAAGCTTTCTTTTATTATCTTTCCACTCCTTTGGCTACCACTTTCAGACATTGTTTCTTTACTGAATTATTTGCGGTAATTACTATAATTTGAAGAGAAAATTAACAGAATCAACTCTCACAGAGCCATTTTCAGAACTAATAAAATAATATTCAAAACATCAACTTCAAAGTAACGGTAGTAGCCGCGTCCACATTAAGCAAATTGCCTCGCGAAGCAAATGCTCGCTTAGTGTAGACGTGCCTCGCCCTTAATTTTAGGACGTGCCTCGCCCTTAATTTTAGGACGTGCTGCCTCACCCGAGACGGCCTCGCCCCGAGCCGAATGCTGTCGGTAACGTGGACGTGCTCAAAAGAGTGTCAGTTCAGAAATATGAATTTTCCTCGCATAAGAAGGTTGCCGCGCGAAGCAAACTAATTTTTTCTGGAACCAAATTCAACCGAGGCAGGCTCGCGAGTAAAAGCCCGAGGCTTCCTCGCGAGGAAATTCGCTCAATGTGGATGCGGCTAATGAGTGTAAACACTGTACATGTCCTGTTCCACTCACCCAGTTCCAACGTAATTTATACTGCCGAACCTATTGTGTGTATTGCACTGTTTTTGATCTCAATGAGTGGGGACACATGTTATTATCAATTTGGCTATCTTAACTCAAAACGTCATTTTTTGGACTAGTACTGTTCTTTGACTCACTGATTCAATTTCATTCTAATCGTTAAAGCCTTATGGGAAATATTTTAAAAAACCTAGAAATAAATAAAAAATTTAACACCTTATATTTTTGAAACCAAGCATCTTCACATCCATGTTTCTTATTCATGGGTAAGGAATTACACCAGGCGTGGCACATGGTTTTTGGAACACCCTGTATACATAAATAGACAAAGAATATTATACAAAGTGGAAAGTCTAACTGGAACAAATTCTGTAACTTGATAAATAAAGGTTTGTCGCAAAATTCCTGAAACACGTCAATTTTCCTTTTCAATGAAGCATATTACAGAAAGATTAGTTTATATTTTTAATTATCTGGGGGGTTGCAGACACCCTTAACTTTTTTTTAAATGGAAGAATAGGTTGATTTATTTTTTATTTGAAAGCTTTTTCAATTACAAATACAATTACTTTTCTTGTGTTACTTTTTATAAGCAATGTGTCGGAAAAAAATGAAATAAGGAAATATTTACTGAAATTACTTTAATGTATAGGTACATTTTTTCTTACTTGATAAGCCCGATAAAAAACCAGCGCGACAGTTTTTTGGTCAATTTGAACTGAATGTGTAAATTAAAAACTAAAAATAAAAAAATGCCCTTTTTAACCGAGACGCATCGTATCGAAATTTTAATGATGATCGGGAAATGGGGACAGAAGTCGAACACAGGCTGAAGTCGTTCGTTTGTTTACTGAAGTTCATCCAGAATTCCCTTCAATTAATCGAAGTACGATTAGCAAAATTGAAACTCGATATCGGGAGTTGGGCCACGTAAGGGATGCTCCTCGAGAAAAGCTTTTAAAAATCGACGAAGAAGCCCAGTTGAACATATTGTTAGAAGTTGAAGAAAATCCTGTTACTCCAGGTAATCAAATAGCTCACGTTCATGGTGTCAGTCACACAAGTGTTTTAAAAATTCTTAAAGAAGGCAAAAAGCACCCATATAAGATGCAAAACTTGCAAGAGCTTAACAAAGATGATCCAGATCGTAAACTCGAATTTTGCGAACGAAATATGGCTTCTATCGATGGTGGAAAAATTGCTTTGGAATGGGTGCTGTTTTCTGATGAAGCTACGTTCACATTACATGGGCACGTTAATCGGCAGAACTGTCGTTATTGGGCTGACGAAAATCCCCGTTGGATGCGTGAATGCCATACCCAAAGACCTTAAAAAACAAACGTATGGTCTGGAATTATTGGGGATCGCATAGTAGGTCCTTTTTTTTAATGGAAACGTAACCGGAGAAACATACCTTACACTGCTCCAAGAAGAACTGATTCCTACTTTAGTGAATTTATTCCCCAATAATTTGGATCTCAACTTATTTGACCAACGGATATGGTTTCAACAAGACGGGGCACTACCACATTTTGCACAAAATGTACGGACCTATCTTAACGAAGTGTTTCCAAATAGGTGGATTGAAAGAAGGGGCCCAATTGAGTGGCCAGCAAGATCATCCAATCTTACTCCATTAGATTTTTTTATGGGGATATCTTAAGAGCAAGGTTTTTGCCACTAAACCTAACGACATCGCCGAGATTCAACAAGGAATCAGGGACGAAATCAGGCAAGTAACGCCGGAAATGTTACAAAATGTTCGGAATGCTTTATAATCGATTAGGATATTGTCAGCAACAAGGTGGAGAGAACGTTGAACATTTATTGTATTAAAGTAGTTTCAGTAAATATTTCCTTATTTCATTTTGCTTATAAAAACATTGCTTATAAAAAGTAACAAAAAAAATGTAATTGTATTTGTAATTGAAAAAGCTTTCAAATAAAAAAATAATCAACCTACCCTTCCATTTAAAAAAAAGTTGGGGGTGTCTGCAACACCCCAGATAATTGATAAACAAATATTTTGTAATATGCCCCATTGAAAATAAAAATTGACGTGTTTCAGGAATTTTGTGACAAACCTTTATTTATCAAGTTACAGAATTTGTTTCAGTTAGACTTTTTACTCTGTATTAACAATATAATGATTGCAGGATAGTATTCAGGTAGATTTATCTTGTAACAAAGTGTATATGTTTTAAAATGTAGGTTCAAATTTTCACATTTTATTACTTGATCAGAGAAAAACATTTAAAATAGCGAAAGTATAAAAACTTTTTAAAATTATAAATAAGAATATGTTAATTTAACTTTATACACACGTAAATTATTGTGTTAACATCACTTTTTTAATTTCTAAATATTGTTTAGATAAACAGATTTGTTCAGTACGACAGTACGACTATGTTTACTAGCTTATTATGATATATTATCCCCATACCTCCATGGTTATTCCCTATAATTTTTTGATTTCTATACGAAGTAGGCGTGTACAATCCCGTAAAGCACAAGATACCATTATGTCCTCGAGGTTTTTCAACTAACACTATATAAAAATCAAACGAACGCAATAAATACCGAAAAATAAAACACATATTACAAAACTTATAAATAATGACACAAATGACATTAGGATGGCAACAATATGGGGCAGGTGATACCGCTTCAGTACCCGCGTATCGACTCCTCTTTCTACTACCTCTATGTATTAATCTCTCCACCAACCCATAAAAATGGGGAGGTTATTTTAATCACTTCAAAATTAGAATTTGAAATATTAGCAAATTTTTACGATTTGGAGTCCTAGGAAGCCAAAAAATGAGTTTTTAAAAAATATCGGGACGTACGTATCTACTCGTATGTGTGACACGATACAACCCAAAATATCCGATCTATTTCGATGAGATTTGTAACATTTATGGTTTCCAGGGGGCCGTGAAGAGCGAATTAGAATTTGGTCCTAGTTGGGGTTCTTTTTTGTATATTTTTGTTATTTATGATTGAAAAAGAAAATTTCCGAACGATTTCGATGGGCTTTGGAACATAGATTTTCCAGGGGCCCCTGAAGAGCTGATTAGATTTTGGACATAGTCAGGGCAACTGGGGATACTTATAGGGGTTCTGTTTTATACTTATTTTTTGTACATATTTGTTATTTATGATTGAAGAAAAAAATTCTTTATTCTGTCTGAAAGTTTTTTGTGATGTCATCATCAATTTTTATTATATACATATTTGATGAAAAGTACAAAACGTAGGATTTCCAGGGGCCTCTAACTAGATTTAGATCATAGTCGGAGCAGCGGAGCGGTACTTTATAGGGGGTTGCTTTTCTACTTTTTGCTGTATTTCAATTATTTATAATTGGAGTAGAAAATTATTTATGTAAAAGTTTTTCGAAATCTCATTATCTATAATTTTTATTATATACATGATGTCCCTAAAATGAAGCGTATTGGAGATATTTGATGAAAAGTGCAATTTTTTTTGCCTGGACTTCAGTTAGTGAAAAGTCATGTGTTGGGACACATTTGGATTTTAAACTATTTTTAAGTGGGTTTAGGTAGAAAGTTTTTTTTTTAATTTCATTGATCTATTTTGTATCAATACATTTTTATTCGATTTAATCTGTGTAACATTTCACTTATTTTTTTATGCTTATTATTAATTACTATTTTAAATATTTTGTTCATTTTCGAGTAGACCACGCCAAGGATCGGAGTTGCCATAGCCGATTCAATTTTAGACTTGAGTGAAGTTTCTCATCTATTCACTGGTCCTGAATTGGGTAATCATCAACATGTTTTTAAAGAAGTAAGTACAACTAAAATTTATGTTTTTACCGATGGCTAGTGTATCAGCTGTCGTTATAAAACTCAAATATCATTCATCATGTAAATTTCAAGGGTCCACTAGAGTCTTAGAAACTTAAGACAAGTCACTTATAGATTACACGTGATACATGACGGAGTCATTAGGATTTTTTTTGTTTTGTATTATGGCTTCGGTAGTATACCTATCTACCCAATTAGACAGTCTCAGTTTGTGATTAATTTGTGGAAGTTGTGAATCAGTTCACTGTTAAAATCGAAATTCTCTATTGGATCCTCTGCACTGACATGATGAATGACATTTGAATCAAGCGTTTTTTAACGACACCTCTTACAGCTAGTACGCAACAATTGCATTTGTTTGTAGGAGACCCTGAATGGCCTAATGGCATTGACTCCAAAGGCGTGGAAAGAAGCCAGAGACACGATCCAGAGTATCCTTTCTACTGATAATCCTGTGTTACAAAATAATAAGGAGCTAAAGAGTAGGTAAGTATTCTCAAAATTACATTTCGGTATTCTAAGATTCTTTAATAAAAGACCTGCAATTGATGTCACAAATTTACTAAAATTCTATTGATAATAAATTACCTATTTGGATATTTCCACACATTATATGGTTCCAATCAATTTTGGGAAAATTTTATGTTACTTGTAGGGCTTTTGTAACTCAGTCAGATGCCACCATGCACTTACCTGCCAAAATTGGGGATTACACAGATTTTTACTCATCTATACATCATGCTACCAATGTTGGTATAATGTTTAGAAGCAAAGAAAATGCTTTGATGCCCAATTGGTAAGTTTTTATTTAATTCCTTATTTAATTTTTTTTTTGTTTTTGCACCTGATATTAGTTAATATCTATAGGCGCAGCATAACTTTAGTTATACTTCACTTAATTAACATCCAGAATAAGAAGACATACAAAAATTATTAAAAAAGAGTGTTCTGTCTTTCTTTTAAAGTGGATTACTATTCTTTTAAGTGCCTTGTCCTTTTTTGAAGCAAGCGGACATAGTCTACCTAATTATCTTATCTTTTTTATAGACGTTACTCTTACTTTAAGTGACTTACCATTCTTTTAATTATCTTACTTTTCTTCTTAAAATTCTAACTCTCGTTATCTGACAAACGGACTTAGTCTATAAACACACACACAAGTGTCTTGCCATTTTTTAAAGTGTTTTGCTGTTTGTTAGATGCCTTACCTTTCTTTTGAGTGTTTTATCCTCTTTTTGGTGTCTTATGCTTCTTTTACATGTCTTATCCTTCTTTTAAGTATCTTTACCCTTTTATAATGTCTTACCCTTCTTTTACATGTATTACCTTTCGTTAAAGTATCTCACTCTTTTTTTCATGACTTACCTTTGCTTTGAGTGTTGCCTTTATTTTAAATGTTTTATCCATATTTTAAGTTTCTTATCCTTATTTTAACCGACTTACCTTTCTTTTGAGTCATTTTAAGTATCCAAACCTTTTACTTTTACTTGCATATACCTTCCTGCTTATTTATAATCATTATACAATAATGAATTATTTTATATCTACAGGAAACATATGCCTGTAGGTTACCATGGTAGAGCTAGCTCTGTGGTAATTTCTGGTACGTCCATTCATAGACCTAATGGACAAACGTTACTAATGGAAGGTAAGCAAATAATATTCATCCAATAACAATGATTGTTTTCTTTGTTCTGTTTTTACTTAAATATTTTTTTTTTCTAAGGTGACGATCCTGTTTTTGGGCCCAGCAAACTCATGGATTTTGAACTGGAAATGGCTTTTTTTTGTTGGAGGGAGGAAATAAGATTGGTGAACCCATTAAAATCGAAAACGCACAAGACCATATCTTTGGATACGTTATTATGAATGATTGGAGCGGTAAGAAATATTTCTATTACTAATTTTTTGATTACACACATAAATATTATCATAATATATTTTTATTATCTCATATCAGTAGCTTATGATAGCATCTAAGATGCAGTATTTAGGTATTTTTCATGTTTCTGTTCCAGGTATTATCCTTGTAGTCTTTTTGATCCGCAAATTTATCACAAATTTATCACAAATTTATCACAAATTTATCACAAATTTATCACAAATTTATCACAAATTTATCACAAATTTATCACAAATTTATCACAAATTTATCACAAATTTATCACAAATTTATCACAAATTTATCACAAATTTATCACAAATTTATCACAAATTTATCACAAATTTATCACAAATTTATCATAAATTTATCATAAATTTATCACAAATTTATCACAAATTTATTACAAATTTATCACAAATTTATCACAAATTTATCACAAATTTATCACAAATTTATCACAAATTTATTATAAATTTATCACAAATTTATCACAAATTTATCACAAATTTATCACAAATTTATCACAAATTTATCACAAATTTATCACAAATTTATCACAAATTTATCACAAATTTATCACAAATTTATCACAAATTTATCACAAATTTATCACAAATTTATCACAAATTTATCACAAATTTATCTCAAATTTATCACAAATTTATCACAAATTTATCACAAATTTATCACAAATTTATCACAAATTTATCACAAATTTATCACAAATTTATCACAAATTTATCACAAATTTATCACAAATTTATCACAAATTTATCACAAATTTATCACAAATTTATCACAAATTTATCACAAATTTATCACAAATTTATCACAAGTTTATCACAAATTTATCACAAATTTATCACAAATTTATCACAAATTTATCACAAATTTATCACAAATTTATCACAAATTTATCATAAATTTATCATAAATTTATCACAAATTTATCACAAATTTATCACAAATTTATCACAAATTTATCACAAATTTATCACAAATTTATCACAAATTTATCACAAATTTATCACAAATTTATCACAAATTTATCACAAATTTATCACAAATTTATCACAAATTTATCACAAATTTATCACAAGTTTATCACAAATTTATCACAAATTTATCACAAATTTATCACAAATTTATCACAAGTTTATCACAAATTTATCACAAATTTATCACAAATTTATCACAAATTTATCACAAATTTATCACAAATTTATCACAAATTTATCACAAATTTATCACAAATTTATCACAAATTTATCACAAATTTATCACAAATTTATCACAAATTTATCACAAATTTATCACAAATTTATCACAAAATTTTCACAAATTTATCACAAATTTATCACAAATTTATCACAAATTTATCACAAATTTATCACAAATTTATCACAAATTTATCACAAATTTGTCAAAAAATGTATCTCAAATGCATCACAAATTTTTCACAATTATTTTTGATTTATCAGATACATTTATATTTTTAGCAAGAGATATACAAAAATGGGAATATGTACCTTTAGGACCTTTTTTGGCCAAAAACTTGGGAACTACGATATCTCCATGGGTTGTAACCACTTTTGCATTGGAACCATTTAAGACCAACAACTATCCCCAAGATCCTCAACCTTTGCATTACTTGAAGCATTCAGACAACTTTAATTTTGATATAAACCTTCAGGTGGATCTGGCACGTAAGTCATAGACTCTTTAATTCTTTTTTGTTTAATACATCTGTTAGTTCCATTTCATTGTTAAATTTTATATCTGTTTAACACTTATACTATATTTTTCAGCCAAAGGAACCAATGTATCTACAACTGTTTGTCGGTCCAATTACAAATATCTCTATTGGACGTCCAAACAACAACTCGCCCACCATACCATAACAGGTTGCAATGTTAACCCCGGGGACTTAATTGCTTCCGGTACAATCAGCGGAGAGGTAAATTTTTAATTCATTCTGATAATTGAATAAATTTGGTAAATGTTTTCCAGAATAATCTACTTAAAATTAATTATATTCACATAGAATTTTATAAAATTTTGTATTTCATAATTTCACAGAATTACCTACTTGAAATTAGTTGAAATTAGTTGAAATTAGTTGAAATTAGTTGAAATAT